CTATCCACTGCTTTGTATCGTGGATCACTTTCTACTTTGTCTTTTACCTTGCTCCATCGAGACTGACTGTCCAAGTGATGATTCGATAACAGTTCAAAGAAGTCAGATTTAATCTGTATTTAAAACAAGTAGTAGTGATAGGAAAATTAAATGTTATGGGGAGGAGGGAATCCAGTAATATGTATCTTAAAAATGAGAACAGTAACATTTCAAACTTCTAAAATAATTTGTCGCTTAACACCAAGATGGTAATAAATAACTTAGCTCAAAAACATGACAATAAGTTTCATTTGCTAAATTAAACATATAACTGAACTCATTCACTGCAAACAAAATTCTACTGACAAAGATCTAAAATAGCCACTCAGGCGCTCTGGTGGCCTAGTGGCAAGGAGCTGCAACTACAATCCCAGAGGCGCACGGTTCGAATCCACCAGATGCTCTGCCGGGGAAGGAGGGACAATCTCCTCCTGTACCGGTCAGATCTGATTTGACGGTACACTAACACAAAAATTTAAAAAACAAACAAACAAACAAAAAAAATAAAATAGCCACTCAAAATAGGGTAAAACATTGTATTTTAATAAATTACAATGCTTGCAACTCTGTTGTTATATATTTATTTATGGCTCTAACTGATTATTACTAAAACTTAATCTTTCCTGAACTTGTTAGCCATTGTTGTTGTTATGTGCCATCGAGTCGTTTCCGACTCATAGCGACCCTATGCACAACAGCCCTAAACCCTGCTCCATCCTGCGCCAACCGCATTGCCTCTGACACACCCATCCCGATTACCCCAGTCACTGAATCAATCCATCTCATAGAGGGTCTTCCCCTCCTGCGCTGTCCCTCCACCCTCCCAAGCATGATGTCCCTCTCCAAGGACCCGTCCCTCCTGGCAACATGTCCAAAGTATGTCAGATGAAGCCCCAGAATCCTTGCCTCCAAGGAGTAGCTTGGTTTAATCCTCTCCAAGATGAATCTGTTTGTTTTCCTGGCAGTCCATGGTACATTCAGTACTCTTCTCCAGCACCACAGCTCAAAAGCATCCACTCTCCTTCTGTCCTCCCTAGTCACTGTCCAACTCTCTGATGCATAACAAGCGATTGCAAATACCATGACCTGTATCAGGCGCACCTTAGTCTCCAGAGAGACACTGTTGCTCCTGAGTACGTTTGAGAGATCCCTAAAGGCAGACTTTCCCATCGCGATACGCTTTTTGATTTCCTGACTGCTGGTACCAAGAGTGTTAACTGTGGAGCCGAGCAAAGTGAAGCTGTGAACACTCTCAATCTCTTCATCATCCATCCTGACGCTGCCAAATGGTCCAGTGGCGAGAATCTTTGCCTTCTTGACGTTGAGCCTTAGTCCATACTGAAGGCTGCAGTCCTTGACCCTTCGCAGCAAGTGCATGAGGTCCTCCTCAGTTTCAGCAAGCAAGGTTGTGTCATCTGCATAACAGAGATTGTTGATAGATCTTCCACCAATCCTGATGCCACAATTCTCCTCATAGAGCCCAGCCTCTCGGATAATCTGCTCTGCATGCATGTTGAAAAGGTATGGAGACAGGATGCATCCCTGGCATACACGCTTCCCTATTTTGAACCATGCAGTGTTACCCTGCTCTGTTCTGACTATTGCCTCTTGGTCCAAGTATAGGTTTCACATTAGCACAATTAAATGTTCTGGGATTCCCATTCTTCTCAGAGTCAGCCACAGTTTGTTATGATCCACACAGTCAAATGCCTTTGCATAATCAATGAAACACAGATAGACATTCTTCTGGTATTCCCTGCTTTCAGCCAAGATCCATCTAACATCAGCAACGATATCCCTAGTACCACGACCCCTTCTAAACCCAGCCTGGACTTCCGGCAGTTCTCTGCTGATGTGCTGTTCTAATCATTTTTGGATGATCTTCAGCAGAATCTTGCTTGCATGTGAAATCAATGACACTGTTCTGTAGTTTCCACACTCAGTTGGGTCACCTTTCTTTGGAATGGGAACAAATATAGATCTCTTCCAGTCAGTTGGCCAAGTGGTTGTTCTCCAGATTTCTTGGCACAACTTGGTGAGCACGTCCAGGGCAACATCTGTTATCTGAAATACTTCAATTGGTATACCATCTATTCCTGGGGCTTTAATTTTTTGCTATTTCCTTCAAAGCAGCTTGAACTTCTTCCTTCATCACCATAGGCTCTTGCTCATATGTTATTTCTTTAGAAATACATACATATATCAGAATATAAAGATTTATGAGATAACACACTTAAATGAAGTATCAAGTTAGGAACATTATGTCAAATGTGTTAGATAATATTAATTTTTTAGTATCAAATAGACTAATACTTAATACTTTGCTCTCAAGTTGTATGTTTTTTTAAAACAGAATAAAGCATTAACTTCTCTATACCTTTATGAAGCTCTAATTCCAATTAAATATAATCTTGCTGACACTGCATTACATTCTTATCATGCAACATATCTAATCCAACTAAAGTCACTCAAGAAAGGATTCTGAATCTGTCAAGAACCTGTTCATCACAGGGATTAAACACACTGTTGCCCAACTCAACAAGGAAATGAGAAGCAAGCAATGGCTTCAAAATTCAAAAAGAAATATTTTCCTCTACTCATTCCAATCCTATCATTTCTTCTTGTAATCTCACTTTCCATAAAAAATTAAAAAGGCTGGCTGATGACCATTCCAGACAATTTATATTATCTGAAAGAAATAATTTGTCAGAAAATTTTTTTAAAAGTTTATCAACTATGGATTTCTTCAACACTGAAGTGATTAAGACATCACTTGATGTAGTGGTGTTAACTAGTCTGTTTGTTTGTCTCTTCTACTTTGTACATAACATGACTCTCTAAAAACCTAGATGTACTGGGTAATATAAAGCTCTGGTGGTCTAGTGGTAAGAAACTTTGCTGCAATCCCAAAGGCATGCAAATGGTATAATCTACCAGTTGCTCTGAGGGAGAAGAATGGCCAATCTTGCTCCTGGGCAATTTATTGCCTCTGAAAAACTGCTGGACAGTGAGGCTATGAGTTGGCTCTGACTCCACAGCATACAGTAACAACAACTGGGTAACGAGATTAAAAACGTATAAAACTGAGTTAAACAATTTTGCAGAGTAAATGAACACTGTCAAGTAAGATGTTTGCAAGCCAATTCCAAATATCAGATATAAAGTATATAAATTCAGGATTATACAGTTTTTTAAAGGTATAATATGTAAACAAGGGAGCTCTGATGGTCTAATGCTAATGAGTTGCTCTGCAAATCCAAAGACAGGGTTTGAATCCTATAGCTGCTCCACAAAAAAAGAACATTATCTTTATTATCTGAAAACCTCCAGGAGGGTCAGCTGTGTTATCAGTTCTGAATAAAATCAAACTTTAATGTCTATCCACTCTGGATACTGCCATGAAATGGCTAAAAATGGCTTACTAGAGCTGTTATTTATATGAGAAGACATACTTGACATCTGTTTAAATAGGGGGAAATGGAGGCATCATTTACATGTAACTACAATTCAGGCATTAGTCCTTATTTCCTCCTCTCCAAAAAAGAGAGTATCTAATTATCTAAGCTACTTTGTTTAATAGTAATAAAAACTCAACTTAATGTAGGACAGCAAAAACAGCTAAATTTGTTTAGCAGGAAATAATGTCAACAGGATGTACTTGTCAAATGTTGCTCCAAATAGGAAGTTAACTGAAGTCTAACTTAAATATTGGCTACTATATTTTATAAATAAAAAGTTCTCGGTTTGGCAAATACCAGTCTAGTAAAAAATATGTAGATTTTTAGAAGACTTTAGAAAACAGAAAAATCTATCAGTGACACTACATGAAAATGATCAAAGCTGTCTGCCTGAACACGACTAACTAAGGAGGGACGGCACCAGAAATCAATGTTCTTCATTAGATTTTTACACTCAGAAAGGGGGACTGTTTTTAAACCTTCACTATTTATTTAACTATTAATGTCACAAAGATCAGTTAAGAGACTCAAAAATCAAGGGGAAAATAAAAAATCCCACATTTGTATTGTTACTAATCTTATAAGCTAATTGCACAGTTAAAATGAGATTTAAAACAAATGGACCAAAAAATGCTGGTTAACGGTTCAGAAGAACAAGCACCAAGTGAAAATCAGGGAGGAAAGTTACAAAACTTCACTAATCAAATACTGTTTAGAATGTGAACATAAAGTGTATTATGTTTAAAACATAACATTAAAGATTTTTGCTTTGACTATATACTTAGTAACTAATTTTTCAATCTCAAAACAAATTCAACTTTATTACACTTATTTATATGTAATGTGTATTTCTTTCTTAATATATTCTGGGTACAATTTTCATCACTGCCGAATTAAACAAAAATAAAAATAAAGTACAATCTACAGGAGACTACCATCACCACAAAGAGGAAGCCAACTGTTTCCTCACCAAGGAATCCTGTAATACTTCACATGTCAGCGATCGGAAGCTATCAGAGTTAAATGACCGACAAGCTGCACAGTACGAAACTGTAAGGTCTATCTACTTATTCATATACAAAATAATTAGAGAAAGACTAAAATCATTAGAAGGACATTATTTCAAACATTCAGTATTTCACAGGCCAAAAACGATTAGGCTCCTGAGGTTATCTGTTTACAAAGCATTTGTGGGGGGCACTAAGGAGAATGCCTGAATGTTTTGATGGTTCACACACTTCTGGAGCCACTTCCCTGCCAATTTGCCTCCCTAGTGGTGAGCTCCTCTCCATTCCTGACAATGCTATTAAATGACATTTGAAATCATTAATCTTTAATAGCTGACCTTTAATTCTGAAAAGCAGTAATTTATATGTAAGATATGTTTACTAAAAGATTAGAAAGTCACTAAAATGCTAGCTTTTAGTGGAGAAAAAAGATAAAGCAGCACTTTGAAATTTTAATGTTACCTCCTAGAAAAGATCTTCAAATATCATTGCCACCACTGAGCAGAGACTAACTTCAATCTGCACGGTTAAGCAAATTATGGAAATAGCGACGCAATTAACAATTTTTAAAGTAAACTTAAATGGTCAGATAGTAAATGTTAATACTATTAGCTATGCCTATAAATGAGGTTAGACATGCAGCAGTTGCTCAGTGCCTTCCCATTCACTTGGCCAATAATTACATCACTGGCACCGAAACTACTTACCTTCTCACCTCTGGTCTTGGAATCTTCTTTCTCTTTCTTCCTTGCAGCAGCCACAAATTCATTAAATAAGGCCTCTCGATCTTTCATCTTTTCAATTGCTTTGAATCTTGAATCTTTAGCATGCTTGGCTGCAAATTCACTGAAAGTAGCTCTGTAAAAATGCAAAATGTGCTAATTTTGGTTATTTCTGCTTGTAGAAAGACATAGTATATATTATCAGTGATACAGAATATGTGTTAATTCCATCAGCCCCTTAACACGCTGCCGCACTTTTAAATTGACAACCATGCTTAGAAACACGTATTTTTTTTTCTGTATTACTGTCATTTGCAGCAACATGTTAAAGAGACACCAAGATAGAGATAAATCAACTATACAAAGTAAAGATGGGGTTACAGATTTGCATGTTATCAATATGATGGTGGTTACTGTTAATATATCCTCAAGTTTAAACTGCTAACACTTCCAGCTAGTGTTCAGCAGCATTAAATCACACAGAAGTATGCCCATCTTTCTCAGACCATGCTGCTGGTAGATTCAAACTGTGTACATATGGGTTGGCAATGTAAAACATTAGACCACTAAAGCACTTATCAGTATGGTAATGGCTTTTGTTATGTTCTACTGAATCTACTGGGACTCAAAGTGACCCTAGGAGCATTAGATCTGAACCTTGCCCTATCCTGGGCCGCCATCATGTTCCTCACGTTCTCTGATATATTTGAGCCCATGGCTACTATCACTATCTCAATCCATCTGGTTCAGTCTTCCGCTTCTGCAGAACCTCCCCCATTCCAAGTGTGATGCCTTTTCCAAAGACCAGCCCCTCCTAACAACATGCTCTAAGGAATACCTAGATTGTACTTTCTTCAAAACATATGTGTGTCCTCTTGTCAGTCCATGGGATATTCAACACTCTCCTCCAACACCACAACCTACAGGCATCAACTCTTTTGTCATCCTTCATCACGGTACAAGTTTTGCATACATACCAAATAAATTTTAAACTGACATCACTGCTTTTTAGCCCTTTGAAGAGGTCCCAAACAACAGATTTTTCTCAATGCAACTCATCTTTTGATTTCTTGACTGCAGTTGTTTTTGTAAAGCCAAGTATAATGAAACTGTTGACAATTTCAATCTTTTCTCCATCTATCATGATGTGGTCTATGGCTACGTAGTAGTTAGGGTTACTGTTTTCTTGATGTTAAGATGTAATTCAGTGATCAGGCTTAGCTTTTAAACTTGGGAGACTGTGGTGTCACTAGTCCCGAGTAGATTTGACCTGTAGCCAAAGTGACAGAGCTGGTTTGCAATGACCATCAGGAGAAGGTCCACATTAAGTACAACATTGATGACACCACTGGAGATCTTATGAAGCTCAATGCAGCCTTCCTACGAAGATGGCGCCGAAAGCGAAGGAAGCCCCTGCCACTCCCAAAGCAAAGGCATTAAAGGCCAAGAAGGCAGTCCTGAAGGGCATCCACAGCCAAATAAAAAAAGAAGATCCACATGTTACCCACCTTCCGGTGGCCTAAGACACTGAGACTCCAAAGGCAGCCCAAATACCTCCGAAAGAGTGCCCCCAGGAGAAACAAGCTTGACCACTATGCCATCATCAAACTTCCCCTGACCACTGAGTCAGCCATGAAGAAGATAGAAGATAACAACACACTTATGTTCGTTGTGGATGTCAAGGCCAACAGCACCAAATTAAACAAGCTATAAAGAAGCTCTATGACACTGATGTGGCTAAGGTCAACACTTTGATTAGGCCTGATGGAGAGAAGAAGGCCTGTGTTCCACTTGCTCCTGACTGATGCTTTTGATGTTGCCAACAAAATTGGGATCATCTAAACTGAGTCCAACTGGCTAATTTTAAATATAAATTTTTCTCACCAAAAAGAAAAAAGAAAAAGAATCTCACTGCAGCCCAAACTGGCACTTGATGGAACAAAAAAAAAGTGTCCTTAAGAAGTGGTACACCTTTTTCAAGGACCACATGTGTTTGAGAGACTATGAAATCCATGATGGATAAATGAACTTGGATCTTTATTACCAATAAGACAGAATTTTTTTCTTTTCTTACCCTTCCCTTCCCAACCCCCCGCAACACTATCCACACTGGCATGGACACTTATTTTTAAAAATATTAATAAAAGCTTAGATGCTGGGGTGATGGGGGAGATGTAATTCATATTGAAGGCTATATAGTCTTTTCTTTCTGCAGCAAGAAAGTCCTCCTACATTCAGTGAGCAAGGGTGTGTCATCTGCGTAACAGAGTATTGAGGAATCTTCTTCCAGCTCTGATGCCATATTATTAATCATGAAATTCAGTTTTGTTCAGCATACAGATTAAACAGGCATGGACAAAGTATACAGCCATGACATACACATTTGTTAATTTTAAACCATGCAGTGGAGAGAATAAATCTCATCCTCTGGTGGATTAGTGGTAGGAGTTGTACAGCCAACCCAAAGGTACATAGAGCTCTGATCGACCAGTTGCTCCACAGGAGAAATACACGCAATCAACTCCCATGTGATTTACTGCCTCTAAAAATCCTCCAGAGGGTTAGCTATGCGTTGTTTTCAGAGCAATGGTACATAACAATAACAACATCCAAAGTCCATACATTTTTAATAAAATACCAAGATATATGAGAACAATAAGTTAACGTTTGAAGAGAATTAAGAGTCTATTTTCTTCGTATGATGAGCCAGGCTCTTATTTCTAGTAATGATGAAATAACTCTTACTGAATTACTGGGCAAAATACATGAGCAAATAATTCTAGGTCATGTACAGGAAGAATAAAATTTTGATCTCTGAAAGAAGGCAAACTCATCAAGTCCCACCATTCACTTCCTAGAGTTAGCTTTCCAACTGTGGTATGCAGAGCCAGTCTATGCAGAGCAAATGTCCCACTATGTTCAGCATGTAGTGCCAGCAAGTTGAGTGTAACTCACAGAGATCCAGTGGACAATGGGTCTCAACGCTGCCCTATCCTGTTCCATCCTGACCATCTCTGACATACTCAAATAAGAAGTTATACAACTGGGGATTTCACAGGACATACATAAAAACAGCCAGTAATTATTGTTACCTTATTCATGTTATTCTGGTCTGTGCGTTGCTGTACAGAGGTAACTCGTGGTTGCTGTGATGCTGAAGCCTGTGACAGTGATGTGCCAATCGTGGTGATGGGCACCAATGGTGGACAGTGTTGGCTGGAGCTTCCTGACTAAATCAAGCCTGGAAGCAGGAGCGGCATCCACTTCCGAAATGGCTTGCCTCTGCAAACTCTATGTACGAACAGTGCTCAGGCTGTTTGTTCATAGGGTCACTATGAGTTGTCTATGACGCGACAGCATTAAACAACAACATTCATGTTATTATAATTTAAGACACACAGTCTCATTTTCTTCACCAATACATATTAATATCTGCTGGCAAATGCCAAACAAACCTTATCTGGACACTTGGGGAAAAAATTCATAAAGGTCTTCAGCCACTTCAATTGCATCCCAATATTTTTACACTTCGGCTTATTATGTATAAAACTTTAGGGAGACAGGCACAAGTTTATTGAGCTGTACCAATTTCTAGGGAAACAAACTTTAGGAAACATTTAAAGTACCTTTCCTGAAAACAAGAACATCACATAAAACGCACTTTTGATTGTGCTAAAAAAAACAGTAAGAATGAAGGTTAAATAAGAAGTTTTCATTTCCTAGGAGAATCTGTTAAGGAGAAAATGTATACATCTGTTGGTATCTTAGGATCATACCTTGGATTAAACTTTGCTTCCTCCATCATTTTTTTGAAATCTTCCTTGGCTTGCATTATTTTGTTTTTCTTTTCTCTCCGTTCTTCCTCTGCCCTGGTCTTTACATACTGATCAAACACCTTTTTTGAAAAACAAACAAACCACAATTTCAAGTCAGTCATTCATATAGATATCTTAATTAATTAGCAACAAGACCTAAAAAACTTTATGTAAATAAAACAGCTACAGCTAGGTTTTACCACATCTCAAACACAAATGGTTATCTCAGAGAATTAGAATGGCCAAACCAACAGCATTTTCTACAAATCATGGTTTTGTATCAACAGCTGTGGAACTGTCGGATACAAAGCATGACAATGAGGCCCTCACGGTGGAAAGCATTCAAAATAGGACTGGGGAAGAGTTGCCTCCTCACAGCAGGGTCGAACTTAAGAGGGCCCCAATGAAAGATTTTTCTTTTGCATATACGGCAAGACTCAAAAGCAGGAAAAAACAGAGAAAAATATCCATTCATAACTGGAACATGGAATGTACTAAGCATGAATAGACTAAGTTGAACTTGTCAAAAATGAAATGGAACATATAAAGATCAACGTATTAAGTACTACCAAGCTGAGATGGACTGTTATTGGCCATTCTCACCAACCAATCATAAGATCTACTATGCGTTGAGGAACAAAGTGAAAAGTAATAGTGTGTTATATTTGTCATCAAAAAGAACATTTCAAGATCTATCCTGAAGTATAATACTGTGACTGGAACAGAACCATACGCACACAAGAAACTACACACTTGTTAATACAACTCTAGTTCAAATATATGCACCAACCACTAAAGACAGAGATGAAGAAATTGAGCACTTCTATCAAATTGTTGTCTGAAATTGACCTATCATATAATAAAGATGTATTAATAATAATTGCTATGTTAACCTCTCTCTCAATTTTACTCAAGTTTTTATTAAAAATGGAAGTGTTTAATTTCTTTTTAAATGTTATGTTATCATCATCAGATTATAAAATGCAGATCTAAAGGTTCCTGAATCAAGTGAGATGAAAATTAGATTATATAGTATTTTTAAAAAGAAAACAGCATCCACCAGATGCTCTGCCGGGGAAGGAGGGACAATCCCCTCCTGTACCTGTCAGATCTGATTTGACGGTACACTCAAATAATAAAAATTAAAAAAAAACAAACCAGCAAAGACTATTGTACTTGAAATGCATATATTTAGATTTTAAATTGTAACAGGTGGCAAGCTTTGTTTATATAACTACTAAAATACTTATGTGAAACATTATGTCGTCTGTTCATAAAAATCCATGTTTAATCTGCATGATTGTATTAACGGTTTACTGTTCAAAGTGGCTTTCCTAGTCATTGAGTTTTGACTCTCTCATGGTGGGAAAATACAGAAAGGGTGTATTAGCATATTCACAAGGGAATGGCTAGTCTTGCCATTAAATTGAGTGGATCCGGCAGCAGAATTTGAAAATCTGACAACCAGCAAAGCAGCAAGGGAATGCAGCCACAGCAGATAACCAGAAGCCTGGCATGAGATGGAGCAGACTGCCAATGGCCCGGAGCTAAAACCCTTTTGTGCCCCAAGTTTGTTGGAGAAATCAGAAGAGAGCTTTAAGTGACAGGACTGAGAGCTAACACTGGCCTAAAATCATACAACTCAAGGCTGAGGTCCCTACAAGTACATTCTGGAAGCTGTTCTGATTTAAGGAGTGTATCTTGCTGCCAACCTGAAGTCTTCCTAATATGATTCTGTGTGGTCTGTGAGCTATCACGTCAGATTTGGGGCCCAGTAAAGCAGTAAGATTGGTGTTGGAATGAGTATGAGTATAAAGAATTGTGGGAGTGTTGGGGACATGTCTGACCTCCTGAGAATTAGTTTTGTGTTACTGATGTTGTTGACAGAGATAGTGTCCCTTCGTGAAGTTGGTAAAAGACAGATATACCATCTCCACATAGCCTGCGCTCTTTTTACATGTATAATCACATAAACCATGGAATTACTCCAACTATTAAATAACTAAAACGGATGATGGACACTTCTATTACAAATGAAATATTAAAGTTTATCAGTACTATACTATGTATCTCAACATACCAATTTAGAGAGATCAGCACTGAGACTGGACAGAAACTGTTGGAAGTATACATGCTTCAGAGAAAAAAAGCAATGACCGTGAGTTATGTATATCACCAAACCATGGAACTTAGTGACAACTCAAATAATAAGCCAATTCCAGTTTGTGCTGATACCACCAGAAGAGACATGTTTATTAATTTTATCTATACTTAGTGAGTTTTCCTTTCCTTTTTTTATTAAAAAAAATAGTTATTTTAAAGGAAGCTACTTAAGTATGAATTTTGCATGTGGCATGTATGACACACAAATTTGTCTTTACAGACATGTCACTGTGTCCATTTACAAGACACACATAGTTTGTATACACTGGCATACCATTCTTGAGAATGCTAAAAATCAAAATTTTCAATAGTGGTCCTCATCCTCCTTTTTTTATAGGTCTGTGCCTTTTAATTATTTTACTCTAAATTTACATAATTTTCCCAATGAAAAAATCAATGTTGTTGCTGTTGTTATGCGCCATCAGGTTGCTTGTGATTCATAGCGACCCTATGTACAAGAGCTCTAAATACCATTCTATCCTATGCCAACCTCGCCATCTCAAACACACTCAGTCCCACCACTCCAGTCACAGAATTGATCCATCTCATCGAGGGTCTTCCTCTCCTGCACCGTCTCTCCACTCTCCCAAACATGATGTCCCTCTCCAAGGACCAGCCCCTCCTCGCAACATGCCCAAAGTATGTCAGATGAAGCTTCAGAATCCTTGATTCCAAGGAGCATTCTGGCTTCACCCTCTCCAGGACAAACGTGTTTGTTCTCCTAGCAGTTCATGGTATATTCAACACTCTTCTCCAGCACGACAGTTCAAAGGCATCAGTTCTCTTTCTATCATCCCTATTCACTGTCCAACTCTCCAATGCATAGCACATAATTGCACAGACTATAGCCTGGATCGGGTGCACCTTAGTCTCCAGCCTGACATCGTTGCTCTTCAGTACTCTTTGAGAGGTCCCTGATAGCTGACTTTCCCAATGCAATTTGTCTCTTGATTTCCTGGCTGCTGCTACTAAGAGGGTTGACTGTGGAAACTAGCAAACTAAAATTGTTTAACTATCTCAATTTCTTCACCATCCATACTGATACTACCAATTGGCCCAGTGGTGAGAATCTTTGTTTTCCTGACGCTGAGCCTCAATCCATATTGGAAGCTGCAGTCCTTGACCTTCTGCAGCAAGCGCTTCAGGTCCTCCTCAGTTTCAGCAAGCAGGGTTGTGTCATCTGCATAACGCAGGTTGTTGATTATTCTTCCACCATCCTGATGCCCCATTCCCCCTCATACAGTCCAGCATCTCGGATGATCTGTTCTGCATACAGATTGAGGTATGGAGACAAAATACATCTCTGACGGACCCCTTTCTTGATTTTGAACCATCCAGTGTCTCCCTGCTCTGTTCTGACGACTGCCTCTTGGTCCAAGTACAGGTTTCGCATTAGCATGATCAAATGTTCTGGGATTCCCATTCTTCTCAGAGTCAGCCATAGCTTGTTGTGATCCACACAGACAAAAGCCTTTGTGTTGTCAATGAAGCAGATACACATTCTTCTGGTGTTCTCTGCTTTCTGCCAAGATCTATCTAACATTAGCTATCATATCCCTAGTACCACGACCTCTTAATTGGAAATTAATGTGAAAGAATAATATGGTATCAAAATCAATGTGTATAAAGTATCAGTACAAAATGTTTACGGTCAATGTACGGTCATGTGCACAGGTCAAAAGTACCCAAATTATTTCTGAGCTGGATATACCAACACATAAAGGATGACTGTGTTTACTCTAAACCATGAGACTGTTCTTGAAGAGTTGTGACAGAGAAGGGGAAAAAGGTAATTAATTCATTAAAATTTAAAGATTACCCTGGAAATAAATATTCATTTCCCAAATAACGCTATTTTCCTTTTACCTGTTTTCTCTCTTTAGGATTGAGAAGTAAGTACCGAGGATCGAATACTATCTTGTGCAACTCTTTCTCCCACGTTGAAAAGGCAGACACCTTTAAAATAAAAAATGTATTGCCTCATAAATAAATTTGCTCTAAAAAAACAAAGGTTACATACTTTTACTTGAAATCTACAGGACATCTGTATATAAAAAGGAAGCAAAATAAAAAGCATAGTGAAGCTTCCATCATTAATAAATGACAAGCAGTGGGAGGTTAGTTACAGCAAATTTCCACACTAATTGGCTCTGAAGATCTAGCTCTGAATTTTTATAGGAATAGCACACTTAATTACTCATTAAAATAACCACTACTGTGTGACATTTTAAAAATCAATACACCAGAAAATGTCTTGAAAATGTTTTGATTTCCCATGCTTGCAACAATTTTGTATACAGTGCTGCGCTTAAAAATAGAACAATTTTAGTCATTCAAATGAATTTTTTGCTTATAACCGAAAGGTAGAAAACCATTTTTAGGTTATATGTTATCAGATCACAGTAACACAAAATATATTTCTCCTTTAACCAAAAGTCATTCTGAAAATATTAAAGGAAGAATCTTATATACCTTACCTATCCCAAGAAGTCCACCATTCTGTAATGTTAAAGGCTTGTCTTAAATTACTCACCAAAATTTAATGATTCAATAAATGTTAAATGTTATTTGTACTTAAAAGACTAGTAAAACGGCACCAACTGTGTTAAGATTAGCCATGAAAAACGTGGTTTCAATAAATTTACAATAATAGGCTTCCCTTGTCTTCCCCCCCCCAAACTGAGCACTAACCTTAGATATGACCTTTTAGCAAGACATATTTATATTACTTATACAAAACAGAAATATCTCCCCCAAAGATTGTTTGCTGACCCCTCTCTCTAGCAGCATGTCCTTGAACTGCTTCATTCGGGCCTCCAGAGGGACAATGGCCCTTTCTCGGGCAGCTTTAATTTCAGCTTCCATGGCAGCTTCCTTCTCTGAATCAATGTCTTTATTATCATCTCTCCTACAAAAAATAAAACATCAACTCAGAAAATACGAATAAAAAAATCTTGAAAAAAACTAATGTACCTTTCAAGACTTACTAGTGAGCAGTAAATTTTTTGTAAAAACAAATTATATTGAGGGTTTAATGAACCCTAAAGGATAAGCAACTTTCCCATTAATAAAAGTAATAAAGTTACAGTAAGCTTCAGAATTGTTACAATGGCTACAATTAAGGGAGAAAAATATTTAAGGTGCTATCTCCAAATGACACTAACTGATACAAAGTAAACTAACCTTCTTGTTGTTGTTGAGGTTATAGAGACCCTACATACAACAGCTCTGAACCTTATCCTGAGCCTGCCTTGCTAACTGACCTACCCCCATTAACCCAGTGTATCATGTCAATTCAAACTACTCTACATTTTAAAAAGTTGTTTAAAACTGTACTAAAAACTCAATTGGCATAGCATAAGTTTCTTGAGCTAAAAGGCGAAAACCAGCATTTTCCAAAACATTTTACATTTTAAATATACATTTTAAAAAATCTAATAAAAATGGAATGAATCTCAGTAATCTGAAATATATACTCTGAAAAAAATAAATCACCTATAAACTTGGTCATGTGAGATACACCTTACCTACCTGACATGTTAATTACTCACTTTCTAGGTAATAGGTTGAGATTTAAGTTGAATGCCAGGTCCCAGAGAGCAATATGGGCCCAGGAGTAGTTAGGTAGAATTAGAACTGTTTGTCAATGACTAAACTACTTCTTGTTCCTCCAAAAGTGCAAGTTTGAGCTGAGAAGTAACCCTGTTGCTGTATGATAATTAAGTGAAATTGTAAACATGAAATTGATTCACCTCTCAAAATATTTGCACTATGAAGGCCCAATCATATAAATAATCCACAGATTAATTTCTATTAAGTGTATCTGAGGAAATGTTCCAGTTTAACATCATAGGACATCCAAAATCATAATATATGAACAGAATGAATACAGTCAGTTATAATAGTTAGGAAAACAAATGTCTTCTTCTACATGGACTTTTAAAAAAGAAATACTGCTTTTATTCCAATTTATAAATATACTCATTATATTGGTAAATAACTTTAAAAGGTAAATATATAAATGAAAAGAACAGTGATTAGGGTAGATTATGAGTGGTTTTCTCCACCATAATTTAGGTGCATTCAATCTGTCCTATTTAGGTGAGGACTGTGATCAGCCAGTACTTAATAGATTCACTTTTCTTTTTCCTGCTAAATAATGGTTCCATTCCCAACAAACTACTTCTCCTCAACCCTTTCAATTAATAAAAACAAAAGTCATATTCATAGAGCATTCACACCAAACTAATATTTCCACTTAAAGCAGCTCTTCCTCAATACACTTTCCAAGCTTATGAATTCCCTTCTTACCAGTTAGTAATCATCATGTTATTACGTAAAAAATGGTCTTTATCTGGGTTTAAAGGATCTCTGTAAGATATTTGCTGTGAATTCTATTAGAAATATTTTTAAAAATATAAAATTTAATGAATAAATTTCTGAAAACAATTTCTACATCATTTGGCTCCATAACACATATCTAAGCATGTCTGGGGCCTGCCCTCCAAATCTCTATCATGAGAAGGATACCATTTCAACACTCTAAAAGCAGTATACAGTAATTATTTTAATACTAAGAGTACTTAGGAAGGCTACCATGACTTTCCTAGCACACAGTGCCTCTCTTACTTATATAATTTAATCAACTTTTGGAAATCAAAATTTGCCTGAATTATACAAATGATGTATTTATTTACTTACTTCCGCTTTTTTGCTTTAACAGGCTCTTCTTCATTCATTTCTTCCATTAATTCCTGTTCTTCTTTAACTGTAAGATAAAATTAAAATTTTCTCAAAATAAAAAGCAATAATCACATTTAAGCATTATTTTTTTCTATTAACCACTACCAAACACTAGCTTTAACAGTATTAAAAAGAAACTTCATTCACTCACTTGCACTCATAGAAAACTGCCATTTTTGGATTGACAGCATTGCTGGGTTCGGGTGCCCTGGCAAAAATAGTTCAGATATTGTTAAGAATTTTTGTTAAGATTGTATTTTACAATCTCTTCTTAAAAAATACATTATTTGTATAAAATATCCACCCCTTAATAGCCACTCAATTATAAGACATTATGTAATAATGTACCACCTCTATGCAACATTTACATTAATTTTTAACTTCATTTTGAAATGTTTATTACTGAAATCTTATATTTAAAAATATATAAAGTTTACTTGATTGAGGCTTTACAGTGCCTTTTTATAATACATGTTAATGTATACATCAACAAATGGGCCAAGTATTTAAAAACAGATTAAGAAAACAAAAACAAAAACAAAATATAGCTTCTTGACATCATTCAATACTATGGTTATAAACTATTATTAATAGCATACCTATAAAAGAGATATTGCTGAAAGGGAAAAACTGGTGCCTGGAACCTTCAACACCCGAAAGGCAAAGTTTCACTGATTTGGAAATCACTTGTAAGCAGAAAATGTTAGTACCACATATATGCAATCCATAATAATTTCTCAATTATTATAAATGACATATATAAAGGTTTGTTTCTTAAATGACTCATTTATCAAAAGGATTTCTATTAAAACACAAGTATTTCAACACAAGGGTAAATTATAAGAAATATGCAATGCAAATTACACAAATATGTATGCTGATTGTATAATATTGGAACGTTGTCTCAAGATAAGGTAGATGCCTCTATAGTCTCAGAAAGGACTTATCTATCTTCCCTAACTTTACTTGAAAACTGCATCATTATATTGAATAAAGAAAAAGATATACTCTACACAAATTTGATTAGTTAAGAAAATATCTCACTAGTCATCAAAGTTGCTGGAAGTTTACTGAAAAGTACTTTTAATATTACTGACAGACATCAGGAAAGCTTCAATAGTACCAATTCATCATGCACTAACTATGAAAATATTGATAAAGAGAATTTCTTAAAAAAATTTCAAAAACACATTTTACAAAAAATAACTTTATCCAGATTTTTAATAATTTTCTGTCTCTACTAGTGAGCCCAAACTAGCACAACCATCTATTTTTCCAGTTCACAAATTACTTATATTCCTTGAAACTCTCATTGTCTATAATAAAGGGTAAACTCATAATTTAAAACTTACTTAGTTTCTTTCCTTCTTCCATTCCTTTTTTATGAGGGGGCTCCTGAATAATTTTGTCAACATCTGCCCTTCCAATCAGATCATCAGGTCGGTCCCACATAGAAAGGCGAGTTGTAGGATTATAAAAGAAGACGCGTTCGTCACCAGTCCAAACTACACACCTAAGGATTGATCAAAAATATAACTTCCTTACATTGAAACACAAAGCGTGAGGAAGAATAGCTGGTTATTGATACTCACAAATAGAAGAAAAGTGGCTGATAAAGTTTAAAAAAAAAGTTACTTGGGAAACCAGTCAAAGTATCTGATAATCAGATGATATGGTTATTTATATAAGAGTCTACAACAAAATATTAAAATTTAATTATGGAAGTACTATATAATCTAACATTCTGAGCTATAATGACTATAACAATTAATCTCATTCTTACTTATCATCAAGTAGATTTTTCTTTTTAAAACTAGCTAATGTCAATAACAACAATTAACCCCTTGCAATAGCTGACTCCCACTCATAGTAATACTATAGATAAGAATAAAACTGACTCATAAGCTCTCTGAAGTTCTCTATCTTTTAGAGGGAGTTCTACTGAGGAACAATGATGTCAGTTTAATCTAACTGAAGATTAAAGTGTTTCTGATTCAGATGATGATCTTTTCAGTCACTTCCTATATATCCCAGAGCTGGAGACAGATAACAAAATTATTGATGCCTGTGAACTGTACTTGGAACTTAACTCCTATATATCTGGGAGCTGGAGATAAGAGAAAAAGAATGATGCCTTTGAACTGTACTTATAACTTAATAAACTTATAACTATAATTGTTGCTAGAGAACAGTACTGAATATTCTGTGAACTACCAAAAGAACAGAATCTAGTGGAGAAAGTATCGTCAGAGTGCTCCTTGGAAGCAAAGACGACAACCTTTGTCTTACATGCTTTCGGTATATTACTATGAGAGGTTATTCCTTGGAGAGGGACATCATGCTTGAAAAGGTAGAGGATCCACAAAGAGAGGAAGACCCTCAAGACCAAATGGAGTGACACAGTGAATGCAGCACTGGGCTCAATTATGTCAGAAATGCTAAGGTTGGCACAGGATAGGACAGGGTGCAAATCTGTTGTTCATAAGGTTGCTATGAGTCATAATTGACTCAAAAGCACCTAACACCAACAATTGGTGGCCTAGTGGCAAGAGGCTGCGCTACCAACTCAAAAGGCACAGGGTTACAATCCACCACCTCTTTTGTGGGAAAAAGATGGAATCTCCGTCCCTGTGAGATGTAACATGTCAGATGCTATACAATAAACTACAACTCATAGTTATCCCATGAACAACAGATCGAACCCAGCCATATCCTGCACCACTGTCACCATCTCAGATATGTTCAAGCCCACTGTTTTAGTCACTATTGTCAAGCCCTCTTGGTGACTCTTTTTCTCTTCTCCTCTGAAATCCTACTGCAGGGTCACCTATAAGTCAGTGATGAATCAACAGCAATGAGTTTGAGGGTTTTTTGGTTTTCTGTGGGGGTTTTTAATAACTGCATCAGAACCTACTTAGGACGGAGTCATAGAAAAGAAATTCTAGTGTTTAGTATACACAAAAACTACAGGAAAAACAAAGCCATTCATGAAAATAGAAAGCAGAAATAAACTTGATAGGGACAAACAGGGATAAAGGAACATTTTGGAGGTAATGAAAATTTTATCTTGAAGTGACAAGAACAAACCAAATCTACTATTATTGAGTTGATTGCAAATCACAAAGACATTAGAGGACAGAAAACATCCTCTACAGGATTTCTAAGGCTATAACTGTTTCTTCTGTACTGTGGCTAGTGAGTTCTAACCACCAATGTTTTGCTTAGTAGTCAAGGGTTAGAGTTAGAGTTAGGGTTAGGGTTAGGGTTAGGGTTAACACTTGAGGTAAAAATAAGATGACCCTTTCTGTCACCGAGTTGAACCAAAACCTAAGGCTTACTGCTCTCAGTGAGGTACTCCAAATTTCACTCCCTTTTTAAAACAGGGAGAGACTTCTTTCCAAGTGTTTAGCATTTCCTGACTTATGTTAGTAAGAGGAAATTACTCAATATGAAGATGCTATCCTACTGATTCATATCAGCTTTAAAATACCTAAGTGTGCCAAAAGAAGCAAATCCAAATAAGTCAGTCTCTGCTGAGGTGAGCTAGTGGTAAATTTGGAGTTACAAGCAGTCATAGTTCTAGGTTTTTTATTCTTTTCATGTATTGCTTTATAACAACAAATTTTAGATATATATGGCTAATTCTGGGAACAAAACAGGCTGAACACAGCTGCCTTTCCCTTATTCCTAAGGCTTATTCCTTATTCTAGACTGGGCAAGAAAACAAAAAGCAGCAGATTCTGAGAAGAATTTAGCATCCAAGGATATGTATATGTTTTAGGGAAAGAACTTCATGGCAGTATGAGATGTTCCTAATCAATAAAAGAGAAAGAAATGTAGCTTTATGCACAAAGAGAAGCTTCATATAGGTGCCCTGACAAAGAAATAGTTTGGTTCTGTAAAAGCTAGACCTTTATAACCAAAACTGAGCCCCAGCAAACCGTGAGAGAAATAAAATCCAAGTCTAAGGTCAAGGGAATCACAAAGTCATTGAGTGAGTGAGATCAGACAGAATGATACAAGCATATGTCAAATTTGAAGGATCCCTGTTGCCACAGCTTAACAGCTTCTAACTGAAAGATCAGCAGCCACTCTGTGGCAGAAGAATGAGCAGTCTCCTCCCACAGATAACAGTCTGGAAAAACTGAAGGAGTCACAATGGGTCAGAAATCACTGGTTGACAGTGGATTTGAATTTAACCCAAAGAGAAGGAAAATTATAAAGATAAATAAAACACGGAAAAACTTAAAAGCATAGCACATTGACTATGCATCCCTAGCAGTGTTGTGAGGTACCATGCAGTTAACTACAACCCAGAGTGACCCTATGAACAGAAGATCTGCACCCTGCCCTGTCCTGTGCAATCCTCATTAACTCGAATATACTTGAGTCCACTGTTAAGTAGTTTAAACAAAGAACTGAAAAAAAGAAAAATTGTCACCTAGAAACAAGGATTATATAAGCTGGAGCAAGAGAAGAGGGAGTACTGATGTGGAAAGTGGAAGGACCAAATAAAGAACAAAGATTCAGCATTTAGACAAAAAGATCTGATTTTCAGTTTTACAAATGTAATCACATACACACATATATTTTAAGTATTAAACAAAGTAAAAAATATTAATTTACTTATTAAAAAAAGTAAATTAAAAATACCAAACTGGTTCAAGTTTGTGAGTTAATGAAGCATTAATGAAGAGTACCATGAAGGAGGAAGACAATGTAGCAACTGAGTTTTAGGTCTGTTAACCTACTAGAATAAAAACCAACAAAGCTACTAGAAAAAAAGAACATGTTACAACACAGTATATACATTTTTAAAATTTCTAAAGGAAAAATCATGGAACAAAGCACAATCCTATGGGGACAATAAATAAAACCAAAAAAAAAATGCCAAAATTGATTGGTTGGAGTTCAGTACTTACCAAGGAGTACCAGGAATAGGTGTAGTAGCTACTGGTTTTGCCTTCTGGGCAGCTTTTTCTTCTTCAGTCATCTCCTCTTCTTTGGGTTCCTATGAAAATATTATTACTTCCATTAACTCATATAATGTAATTTTAAGTAAATATCCCACAAATCACTATCAGTTGCTCAAAGTACAACCTACAAAATATTTTTTACTAAAATGGGGAGGAGAAGATCAAGTGTTAGAGTAGGAATTTCTAATACTTGCCCCTAGACAGCCTAGGAAATATAATGGCATCGTACACTTCTTGATGAGGGAGAAAGATGGGCCACCTTCTCCCATAAAGATTAATAGCCTCAAAAAACTGATGTAGGTCTGCCACAGAACTCACTTGTTGGCAATGGGAGATAGAGTTTAGGCAACTTAACTGAGCAAGCAGTTAAGCACCCATCTGTGGTCAAAAAGTTAGTAGTCAGATGCCATCCAGTAGTTGTAAATGACAAAGACCTGGCAATTTACTTTAGGATTATTATCAAGAAAATCTTACTGGGGGAAAATCTACTGTCATAGGAAATGCTGTGAGTCAAATTAGATTCAATAGTACCTAGCAAAACAGCCTAATTCAACAACAGCAAAGCCAGCAGAAGCACCTCACTTCTCAGACTCTCTGATCATATCCTTACTCTTAGTTCTCCAACTAAGAATGCTAGTATAAAAATTAGAAGAGCCTTCACTTCAGGGTTTAATTTTGCTAACTTTCCCACTATTAAGGCATGGTAACTGTTGGTCCCTTACTGACAAAAAGCTTCTAAAAAGCAGAGTTCTTTTAGGAATATAGAGATCATCTGAAGTCAATAAACAACTGTAGGACAGGGCAACCATTATGAAAACTACCTCCTCCCAAGAAGGAAATGCATTTCTAATCTTAGTGTGCACTAGTCCAAAAATGCCATAATGCTTGGCTACACCTGCAGGCTGATGGCTACTGTGTTGTGAATTGGTTTTTATGCTGGGTGGTATGTTGGCATCTTGTGTCTCAAGGAGGGAAAATGTACGGAATGCTCGGGGCTCTTCCCCAAGCGGAAGTCAGTGGATGGGACTTGCCAGATGAATTGGGGTCTCTGGCTCTGAGTCCACCAGCACTCAGGCGTGCCAATATTTAAAAACAACCTAAGGCCCAAGGGCCAAATTTTAATTTATTTGGGATAAATATTCTTTTAAGTGGTACAGCAGTGATTTATTTGCTCTACTGACGCAACTTAAGAGGTGCTGTGATGATGGACAACTGTGCCATAGGTGTGTCAAACACCATAATTGGCTACCCACATAGGGAGTGTTTGGTGGAGCTCCCAGATTGATTCAGGTGTGAGGCAGGAGTGGCATCCACTCCCTAAACCACATGTCTCTGAGAAGTCTATGAACTTGAAGAAATGATGATAGTCACAGAAAGTCTTTAGGCCTTTTGTTCATCTTTTGTTCATAGGTACACATGGAGGGCCCTTGTACTTGTCTTTTGGGCCCGATAGCCTAGTGTTATTATTTTGATGGAACATTCTTCTAAGTTGTACAGCAGTCTTCTGTGTCAATTTGCTGTACTAATCTGGGTTTGCTGTGAAACTGAACCTTACAACACTGGGGGGTAAAATGCTGAAAAGGCTGCTGCCCATGGTGGACAGTATGATATGATGCTCCCAGTTTAAGACTGGTTTGGAAGCAGGAGTAGCATCCACTTTCTAAACCACATGCCTCTGGAAACTCTATGTACCTGGAGAGATAGAAAGGCTTCATTCAGGCCTTTGGTTCACAGGGTTGCTAGAGTCATGCTCGACCTGATGGCAATCAACAACAACAACAAACGGTCCAAAAGTTAAGAGACTATTCTTTCTATGGGGCTCAGTTTCATATAAAAAGCAATTTAGTGAAATTTCCAAAGGAACAAATGAATTTGAATGTCAAGAAAACCTTGCAATTTCAGAGGTCAAATGAATGCAAATTATCTAAGAATATATCAAACTGATTTTCAATTACAATTAAATTGTACCAAACAATTAATGTTTGCATTCTGATTAACAGATCAAGATGCTTTACCTCTTTTATCTCCTTTAGAGGCTCCTCTTTAGGATCCAACTCCTCTGTCTCCATCGGCAGAGGTTCTTCAGAGGGTTCTTTGATAGGCTCTTTAATCTTCTCTTCTAATTTTTCTATTAATTAAAGATAATATCAACACCTTTCATAGACTGTGCAGTTATAATACTTCTAATTCTAGTTATTAATTACACATGCTAAAAGTCATTCCTATTAATAACAATTTGAATCCAATAATACTCAAAGTAAGGATAGATGATAAAAAAAACTATGCATTTTCTTCAAACCAAAACATTTTCTTCAGGACACATACATACATGCAAGGTAAAAACTATTAATCTCAAAGAGGAGAATAATAATTACATAGTTTCTGACACCAGTAAAAAAATAGTTATTTCCTCAGATGGACAAAATAATAATAAAAGTAAAAGAAATCCTCATGGCAGAGCAGGTTAAATCCTGAACTGCAAACCAAAAAATCAGTACCCTGAATACATCTGCTGAACGCAAAGAAAAAGATAAAATAAATCTGGTTTTATAATGATTACAGCCTTGAGCACTTGTCTGCCCTACAAGGTCACTAGGATTCATCCATCAATGAATTTTTTAGTGGTGCAGTGCTTAAGCATGTGGCTACTGTCAAGCATACAATTTGAATCTGTCAGCTACTACACAAGAGAAAAATGTGGCAATCTGCCTCTAAGATTACAGCCCTAGGACAATTTTTTGGGGGGAGGCTAAGAGATAAAATCAATACAATGGCAGTAGACTTGGTTTGGTGTTGCTCAAACCAAAAACTGGCAGAAATGCAGACAAATTTATTACTCTGAAGGCATTTCCCCTCTATTTTATATGGTATCTCTGAGCCTGAACAAACTCAACAGCAATGGGTCTTTTGCTGGTTTGTATTAAGGAGAACTGGATTTCTAAACAAACAGAATAAATTCAATCCCATAGAAACAACCCAAGAACCTCTTAATTGAGAAATCCTTCAAAAGTGTTAAAAAGTCATTGGCTTAAGTATTTCAAATGCCATGCTATCTCTGAGACTATAATTCCAACTATACCTTTTTCCTTTAGTTCTTGGGGTTTCTCCCAGGTTGATTCTAATGTTCTATTGTTATAATAGTATGTCTTTCCATCTGCTGTTTTATATTCGGTCCACTCGGAAACTGCTGTTGCTCCAGCTAAGGTAGCAGGTGAAGCTGCAATAGCAACCTGGGGATGGATCATGGGTACGATAGGAGGGGCCATTCCTGGCAATACACCTAAAAGAATAAGAACAAAAAATCAGATCCAAGTAACAAATTGAAACACAAAATAAAACTTTAAAATATGTGTTTAAATCTTCCTAATAAAATACTATATTCATAAATTAGTTGGAATAAAACAAAAAAGCTATATAAATTGGCGATTTAAATATTACTGAACTTTTCTTGTTTTTCTATGCCTATCTCATTTAAGTTTCAGAACTGCAACCCAATTATCTTAAGAACTCAGAAACTTGAGCCTGAAATTTTACTATATTATAAAAATGATATATAATCTCTACTTATTAGTATTTTTATAAATTTCTCAAATTGTATGAAACCAGATTATTAAATAAACCTATTTTCTGGAGGCAAAACTAGTTTCTAGTTAATACACATAAAAAGATATGAATAAAATCCTCAGTTTTAAAATTAAGTGATTAAATTTACCAAATCTCTTTAATACTAAATAAGCCAATCAAATAGCCCTATAATTCTTTGCATAAATTACTCTTTTCTTGAAAGGAAGTAAAGCTGTTTCTTTTTTTTTTTTAAATAAAGGGCAAACTAAGGGTTTTATTTTTTTAAAAAAACAATACTATAAAATAAAGATACATGAATTTTTTAAAACAAAGAAAAAAATCAAAACCAGGTAACAACTCAAACTGTATAAATGAATTTACAATTCTGATAGATATCTAACTTCAATAACTTTAAAATATAAATTTACACTATACACAAAAATAATCACACACATATATACTCACTAGCATGCAAGCATAATCACATCACTTTACACATGGAAATGATTTTTTTATATTTAACTTAAAAACACACATCAGAAAATAAAATTAAATGTTATGAATATGGGAATGAAGTTGTTTACACTTATTACATAAATTAAGATATAAAGTGATCTGACCTTATTCGCTTTTGTGAACCAAAGAAGCTAATACTACAGGCAATCGGGAAAATTGTTGGCCAAATATGACAACTGCATTAATACTGCTCATTAAAAAGAAAAATATAAAAAAATCCACTCACTTTGGGCAAAATAAATAAATAAAAGGATAAACAACAACATTCACTACCATGCCAACTTACAGACAAAACAAACTAAGATGGTTTTAAAAATTACCGGTCTTGGTGGTAGCGACTGTCTTTACATACGGGCAGCTGACTATTTGCATCATTGCTACACCTGTAAAATGGATAAGCAAGCATATGTTGGAAAGCTGCCATTGTATGTCAGCTACCACTGGGATTCAGGGAAATAATTTACTACTACACTTTAGAATGAAAAAGACTAAGAATAATGCAAAATTTTTGTTTTACATTTTGTGGGAAGTGATGCCAAGCCAATGAAACAAAATCTGAATAACAGCGTAAATTACCTTTTATCAAACCAGCTATGACAACATTTGAAGGAGTCTCAGGAGTGTCAATTCAATAAAGGCAAGCCCCTTCATTACATTTATATAACAAGTTCTCATGTTAGGCATTTTCCCACAGGACATCCAACCCATGCTGCTGTTGCTTAGATACCAGTGAAAGGCAGATGCAGCATGACAAAGACAAAATATTAATCTCTCTTTATGCTGCTAAGTTGGAACTACACACAGGCACTAAAAACATCGGCCACCAACATGCAGAGTTGATAAGGAAAGGAAAAAGAACAAAGAGAGGTGGAGGAAAAAGAAGAACACAAAAAATGAGATAGATCGAAATATTCCAGAAGAGTATCAACTGAACTAATAATAAAATGTCCACGTTTAGTGCCTGTTCTATGGAATTCCATGGGGAACACAGGGTGGAAGCAGCCTAAAACTTGCAGTCTTTTAAAAATCACTTTAACTATCAGAGCCAATGGTGACAGAAATTTCTATCATTTAAACAGACTGAAAAAACAGCAGGCCCATTAAAGAAGGGGAATTATTTACAGGCTGTAGAAGAATAAAGATTACTCATGATGAATTGCATTGATGTGTTTTGGGAGGAAAAAGGAAACGAAAAGTGAGCAATCTGCTTAAATTGAAGAAATTCAAAACTGAAAGTGAATTTTTAAAATTTTAAGGAAAACGCTGAAACCGAATAAAGCTTAGGAGACATTATTTTTACACTGTTCCTGGAAAAGTAAATTTAGTTTGGTACCTAGAACAAGTCTTGATAATAGCGGCCAGGAAATCGAGAGACGAATTGCATTGGGAAAGCCAGCTGTGAGGGACCTCTCAAGAGTACTGAAGAGCAACGACGTCAGGCTGAAGACTAAGGGCACCTGATCCAGGCTATAGTCTTCGCCATTACGTGCTATGCATCAGAGTTGGACAGTGAATAGGGATGAAAGAGAATTGATGCCTTTGAGCTGTGGTGCTGGAGAAGAGTGCTGAATATACCATGGACTGCTAGGAGAACAAACAGGTTTGTCCTGGAGAAG